CATTGTAAGCATATGCACGTAACACACCTAACTTACTGAACATCACAGTGCAATGCAGTGTATGGCAGGACATGAATTCTTTCCCCCACTGATCCGAGGCAGATTGGGAGCTGTCACTTAATGCCACGGCCCAGCGTTGAAAAAAAATTGCATGATGAACTGTCAGCATGAGATAAAATGAAAATTCAAAAATTCAAAGCAGTTTCTTCTGGGTGCCTATGATCATAAAGTCGAAAGGCTCTAAGTGGAGCCATCTTAAATAGGGATCACTTCTTCTATTAAAAATCAATCGGGGAAGGAGGTGGGGTGGGCTGATGGGTGCTGTGCAGCACAGCTTCTCTTGGGAAAGTGGCATTTGCTGGGGTGAGGGCTGAGTGTGACACCTGCAGGAACAGGATCTTTTTAGGTCATGAACCCAGATGAGGTTACCAAAACTTTCAGAGACAGTTGACAGAAAGGACAAAATGGCCACACTTGTCTTTCTTTGTGAGGTTGCCATTGTGCTTAGTTCAAAGTCATTGTTTTCAATGTACAAAGTGCTATGTAGCATTTCTCGGTACAAACAGTCACTTTGATACAATATTTAGAGCCAGCCAGTTGACAAGAGTCATGTGTGCTTTCTCCTAAACAGAATCTTAACAATTTGGTAAATTCTATTCTTCTCATTCACAAAAAAGCTACTGCTCTCATGAAGCCCGGGCTTCTGTGCTTTCAGCGCTGTTTCTGAATGGCCGCCTCCATTTCCTCCTTGGTGACATCTGATAGTAATGGCTTCATAGACAATTTGGAGCTTCAAGTGCTCCGAGCTCAGATGGACCACTGGATAACTGGCTTTACAGAATAAAAAGATGTCTGGGAGCTAGAAAGCCAATCAATACTTCAGTATTTTGTTATATATTAATCCACCAAAAGACATAAAACACGCAAGCGCACAATACCTAGTGTTTAGCATCCAGGCAGTAGACTGATTAGCTATTGATTTTTCCCTCTCTGTTATAGAGAAGCTATGAGGCTTTTATTGGAAGGCCTGGTGCTGGTCCTGTCTGCATTGCTATTTAAGGAAAGGAAACATGTATATGCAGAGGGTTCTTTGACCTTTAGATTTACTAGCTTAGTTTAAATATGCAAAGCACACTGAGTCTGCGAATACTAAAATTAAACCCAAACTAAGTACAAATACCAAATTTGTAAGTTTACATCCTTCTTTACACTATATTATTAGGATGATGAGTGAGCGCACTTAGGAGACACTGATCTGAAGTCTGATTTTCTTCAGAGTAAACAAATGGCTGGAAACCCACACATACTTTAGTTCAGAGTGGAAGATCTGATGGGCACTGGGAAATGGCTTGGGAAAGGTGTCAGGTTCCTGGATCACTGAGCATTTATTCAACTGGTTCTTCAACTGTCCAGTGATAGAGTTTTGACTGCTCATATCTCACATCTCCAAACTGCCAAGCGGTACAGTAGGCTGCACTGTGCCTGCTGTGGTTGGTTCAGTTTCCTGCTGCTCAGATTCCAGATCCCATCTACTGACAACTGTCACCTGCTGCCATGCCATACCATACCGGAAGCCCACGAGGAACTCTGCCATCTCCTCAGTTCCAGTGCCACCCTGTAACCGTGATCTATGGAGCTGGTGCCACTTCTCTGTAGGTTTCTGCAGATTCAGTTTCCAGACATCAAGCAGCCTTTGTCCTACGCCTTCCCATTTTCTCTCTTCCCTCTACACGTCTGCAGAACCACCTTCCTTTCTGCCTTCACTGAAAGCTTTTGTTTTTTATTTTATTTTATTGAGCTATACATTTTTCTCTGTTCCCCTCCTTGCCTTCCCCTCCCCTTCAACCCTCTCCCATGGTCCCCATGCTCCCAATTTGCTCAGGAGATCATGTCTTTTTCTACTACCCATGAAGATTAGATCTATGTAAGTCTCTCTTAGGGTCCTCATTGTTGCTAGGTTCTCTGGGATTGTGATTTGTAGGCTGATTTTCTTTGCTTTATGTCTAATGAGTGAGTGCATATGATAATTGTCTTTCTGTGTCTGGGTTGCCTCACTCAATATGAAGTTTCCTAGTTCCATCCATTTGCCTGCGAATTTCAAGATGGAATCATTTTTTTCTGCTGTGTAGTACTCCATTGTGTAAATGCACCACATTTTCCTTATCCATTGTTTGGTTGAGGGGCATTTAGGATGTTTCCAGGTTCTGGCTATAACAAACAATGCTGCTATGAACACATGTCCTTGTGCTATGACTGAACATCCTTTGGATATATACCCAAAAGTGGTATTGCTGGGTCTTGAGGAAGGTTGTTTCCTAATTTTCTGAGAAATAGCCACACTGACAGCCAAAGTGGTTGTACCAGCTTGCATTCCCATCAGCAATGCAGAAGTGTTCCCTTTACCCCACAGTCTCTCCAGCATAAGTTGTCATCAGTGTTTTTTATCTTGGACATTCTTATACGTGTAAGATGGAATCTCAGAGTTGTTTTGATTTGCATTTCTCTGATGACTAAGGATGTTGAGCATTTCCTTAAGTGTCTTTCAGCCATTTTAGATTCCTCTGTTGAGAGTTCTCTGTTTAGGTATGTACTCCATTTTTTTTAAATTGGATTATTTGTTCTTTTGATAACCAATTTCTTGATTTCTTTGCATATTTTGGAGATCAGACTTCTGTCTGATGTGGGGTTGGTGAAGATCTTTTCCCATTCTGCTGGCTGTTGTTTTGTCTTGTTGACCGTCTCCTTTGCTTTACAGAAGCTTTTAAGTCTGAAAGCTTTCTTTATCAACCACTTCCAACTTAACCTCATTTAAAACAATGGCCGTAAAGTGGAAAAGTTGCATACAGGGGCGTGAAAATGAGCCCTATCTCCATCAATATATAAAACTAAGCTCAAAATATATTACATAGTTAAATGTGAAATTGCATGATGTTTTAAAGAAAGCGTATAGGGGAAAGCTGGTCTGGGCATTGGTTTTTCCAGATCTGACTCCAAAAGCTCCGCAAGAAAACTCAAAACACACATGCCAGATTGCACTGAGCTACAAAAGCCCTGCTAAGAATGGGAATGATTGACACCACCTGCGGGTTGAGAGGAACTGTTTCAAAGCCCACACCTGACAAGGGGTTAATACTGAAGCACACCCAAAATCAACCCCAATGGCGAGAAAACAGCTCATTTCAAAACTGAGCAAAGGCTATGACTAGACATGTCTCAAAAGGAGACATACAGATGACCAAGGCATAGTTGAGAACATACTCAGTATGACTGATCATTATGGGATGAAAATTAAACTACAGTGAGACATCACCTCACACTTGTCAAGATAGCTTCTATAAATGAAAATAAGTGTGAGAAGAGGGAACTTTTCTTCATGTCTTGATGGTGGGGTTGTAAATTAGTACAGACATTATGGACAATGTTCTGGGAACTACATTAAAAAACAGAATAGAATTACTATATAATCCAGCAATTCAATTTCTGGGTACATAGGCACGACCTTTTCATGAATGGCTGAGTGCATAAAGAAAGTGGAGAATCCAGTAGATTGATCCCGAGACTTACCGAAAGGAAACAATGACATTCGTGACAACATGGATGGAGCTAAGGGCCATCCATGGCAAGGGAAATATAAATGTAGAACATAATGAACGAACCCTTAGAAGCAAGAGCAGAATGCTGGTTACTGGAGGAGGCTGCAAGCTGGGAGACGTAGGTTGATATTGGTCAAAGGGTAAAATTAAAAGAAAATCCAGATTTTAAAAGAATTTTTATTTTTAATTACTGAGTAACATTTCAAATGTTCTATTATAAATAAATATTGATTCTAGCATGATGGTTCAGGTCTATAACCCTAGCACTAGGGAGGCCAAGGTAGAGTGGTTATAACTTCGAGGCTAGCCTTGGCTATTCAACCTACCCAAAGGCAGCATGTGCTGTATGTGGAGACCTTGACAAAGCTTGTGAGGTACTACGTTAACTGTCACTTGATTTGACTATTCCACATTCTGTGTGTGCTAATGCCACTTTGCGGTCTAATTATACAAGTATAATTTATTAATGCATGATAAAATAACCTGCAACCATTCCAAGAATCATACACAAGACACATAAGCTCATACATTCCCCGAATCTACATATAAGAAACGTCTGGATCATGGGAGTCCACTGGCTTGGTGGCCACCACACTTGGAGCAAGAGAGTCTGCTTCATGAGTACAGGTTTCTTTTGGGATGAGGACAATGTTTTGAAATGAAGAGGTAGCAATTATATGGCACTGGAAAAACACCCAATGCCGTGGACTTGCACATTTTAAAATGGCTAAGTAGTTACGTAAATTTACACACAACTGAAAAAAAAATCACAAGCTCACCAAGGACAGCCTTCTTTATCATTTCCCCCAAAGAACACTTCTAGGCATGCGATTCATTTATTTGTTTTGGTTCTTGTATAGAGTATCCCAAGGCTTCCTGTCTGTTTCACTCATTGGGATAGCCCTCTGGCCCTAGATCAGGCCTGAAAATAATAGAAGAGGCACATAAAATATTACCTCTTTAATGCCCCTCTTAATAAAAGATCTCTGACATTTCTTAGGAGAGATTATTTCATTTTAAGTAGGATAAAAATAGATAAGCAATACAGGAATAGGTACCCAAACATATAAATGAATGAGAACAGAGAGAGGGAGAAAAGGAGCAGGCACCCTATCAGGCTTCCTAATTTCACCAAGCAGGAGGCAAACAAACAGCACAGCAGAGCTTCAGAATATTGGGAGGACAGGATCAAACATGAAGCGCAGAGTCCACTCTCCATTTTCAAGGACTAGAAACCACATTTCCTTTAAATTCTCAGGGATCAATCAGTGCACTGATGGAAACAGGAGAGCGGGAAACACACAAAGCTCCTAATGAACACAGTTCCCACACACGCATACGCTCTCAAGGGGTTCAGCCTCACACATGCCTGTGTGAAAAACGGGGACACTGAGTGAGAGAACGTACCGATGAGCTCCTTGTTTCTGACATCCAAGGCCATGTTCCGGAGCGCCGTGGCCACTGCACACACTACACGGTCATTGTCTATTCGGAGGAGCTCCACAAGGATGGGCAGGCCTTTCTCTTTCCGGACAGCGGCTCGGATATAGACAGACCACTGCCAAAAGAGGGAAGGCAAAGGAGATTAGAAACAGAGGTGAGAAGCCCTATAAAGCCGACAGCTCTGAGGGTCGCCAGGCGGCTGTTCTGTTCGCAGGAGCCAAAAAGGTTGACTTGCCATGACCTAGCTGCAGAACAGGCTGAGTAGGTTAGACATGCACTGGGAGGTCCCAGGGTCGCTCCATGGACCACAGTTCCTTTCTACGGTGGCTGTGTTTTCAGCATGGGGGGTGGGGGGGCGAAAGCCACCAACAGGATGTGCACGTGATGCTGTAAGATGTGGAGGTTTGGGGTGGGGCAGAGCTGACCAATGATATTAGAGAAATCAAGAAAGAACCACCACACACAGGAAGTGGTGTGGGCTGCATACAGGTGGTCTTTGAAAAGAGGTGGCCCATAGAGATCAACCGCCATGCATGCAAGGGAGGGGACCAATGGAGAAAAAATAAGGAGAAGAGAGAGTATGGGACTGGGGAGAGGAAAATAGGACCTTGAGAAGCAAGAGTGAGAATGATAACACTTTTTGAAATAAGAACATTAAGATAAAAATGTATTATTTCCAGGGCTATCATCCGATGGCCTATCTTTTTAAAGACATGATTTGTTTTGGTTTGGGGCTGGTGCCCTTGTTGGGCAGATAAAGCCCCCGGCCTCAGTCATTTAACAAAATGCAGGTAGCCTGAGCCTTGTAGACATGCACACATGTTTTGTACTGTTCCATAGAGTTCCAGAGACAGCTGTGAGGAAAAACTGACTGTCAGGGTTTGATGGGTGGCAATTCCATTTATGATCTGGAAAAAATACATTCAGGAGAAAGGATTCGGATTTGGAGGGAACCAGTCCTTCCCCTCCCCTCCCCCCACCAGGCCCACTCCAGCCCCCCAATCCCCCACAGGGACAGGCACCCCAGAGCTGGCTCTCACCTGTGGCAGGCAGGGAGCCCCCTCTGGCAGTGAACGTAGGGCATACGCCATGCCTGCCACATCCTCAGCCCAGCCCTGCATGAAATATGAGATTTAAAAAAAAAAAAAAACAAACAACTTCATCCCGTCCTATGTTAGAAATCACATTCACATTCTTTTCAACACCATCATCCAGGAAGGCACGCTTCTCTTCTTCCCTCTGTGCCTGCGGAGGAGGCACGCAGTAAACTCACCATGGCACCTCTCAGCCTATCCAATGGCCCCATGGACAGAAGCCAAGGGACCAACATTCAGGAGCCCAGTCGACAATGGAGAAACACCAAGGTCTGGGAGCCACTAAGCTAGACCGCGTAGTGTGGCTCTGACACTAGTTCCCAGAGGGGAGTGCTCCTCCTGGCATCAAGTGCCTACTTCCACGTTTGTGTTTGCTCCCCACATAGAAATAGCGCCTCCTCTAGACACACTGCTTTATCTATCTGAGTGTCTGGCACCCAACCCTGAAAGGACTGAAACCTAAGCTTACGCAACTGCTTACGGTTGGCCTCGTCTATAAAACTAGGAGAGAACCTGGAGTTAAGACAATGGGATTCAGAGTTTGCATCAACAAGGGGGGATTAAGAAGTACACATTAATAATAAATACTACTGGGAGAATTTTGTCCTGAAAGACCATTGCAAACAGTTCCTGGCACCCTAAGCACAGACCTTAGAGATGGCTCCCTTTCCACTACCAAGATTTCCAGGTCCTATGCTCTTCGTTTATACAGTTGAGGGCTCTTCTAATTTCCGAAAACACAGGAATATCAGCACCATCACTTTATCAATAGGGATATTTAAACATAAAATATTAAATAACCTTATCATAAGAGATACTCTTGGCCCTGAATCTGTGTCTCCTTTGGCTGAAGATACCATGCTCTCCCTCTTTGCTGCTGTTGCTCCTCCTGACCAGGTAATCTACGATCAGCCTTCGAACTCGAGTTTACCCTTGACCTCTGTCTTCCACACTGCCACATCTGTAACGCCCCTAAACGTGACAGCTGTGACATTCATGGAAGGTCCAGTACTACACTCACTTCCCCACGATGGATGGAAAGATGGCCTGGTAAGTGGAGGATGGAGAGAGTCCCTTTAACTCTGATGGGAACGCGAGAGGAAACAAAGCAAAACTCAACCGAAAGGTGACCGTGCAGACTTCCAATGTGTATGAGTTCCACACACCCGTCTTGCCATATGAAAAGTGAGAGCCTGGCGATGGATTTGGCACTCAAGTGATCTAAGAGCAGAATTTTCTTGTTTTTGGAACTTTTGGCTTTTTTTTTGTGTGTACATGCGTGTGTGTTGTGGTATATGTGTGTGTGTGTATGTGTGTGTGCATGCATGTGTGTTGGGGGGGTGTCTTCTCATATCACCACAGTCTAAAGCCTGCCATATTCATCATATTTAAAGGGTGATGCAAATTTGCATGAGTTTTTCTAGGTTTTCCAAGAGAGGAGGTCACAATGTTTTTAGGCCATCAGCCAGGGAGTGTGCTGGAAACCCACGAGTTACCCAGGAAGGAGTTAAAAGAACAGAAGGCACAATGGAGATACTGATGTCTGGGAACTGTGGAATGCTTCACATGTGCAAGTTGTATAGAAGCAGGAGGCTCACACAGCGTTCCAGAAGAGAATGGAGCTGCTTCTCTTTAAGCGCGGTTTGTGTCAGAAAAGAGTCACTTTTGTGGACATGGAATGAGACAGTACTTCAGAGAATAAACATTGTGTTCTTCTTTTTTCTCCTGAGCAGAATTTGGATCATTGTTCGGCTCCACAAGATGTTGTCAGAATGGGACAGCGATGAAAAAGCAAATGGTTGTTTTTAAGGCCAGCACACCAGGTAAAAGCTTGGATAGATCGAAAGGGGATCAGAAGGAGCAGAAAACGTGTTCACTTTTCAGAGCCCACAGAGTCTCCACAGTGGTGTGGGGCGCATCATGGGAAGACCAGAGATGCAACAGTGCTTTGTGAGCTCTCATCACAATGCTGAAGTGCCCAGGCGCACACCGCTGATATGGGTGAGGGAGCGCTGTTACTTTCTCTCTCTTCCTCAACCAAGATGGCGGAATGCGGAGTCAACGAATGACTTTTCTTACTGGACTACAGAAGAGGCCAAAAACTAACTAGTGAAGTTCTCAGGACCATCCTGGAGGGATCCATGAAGAACGAATGGCTTCTTGACCCCAGTGTCACCAGGGTAGCCCTGAGGGCTTCTATGGCTTGAGTGTGAAGGAGAAAGGAGTCACAGATAAGAACTACAGAGGAGTTCCTCGGCTGGGAAGTAGGTGACACATAAGAACGGTTAGCATGGAGGAGATATGGCTGCACCCAAGCATGCTCAACAGTGAGACAAGGCTGAGGGAGTATAGCAAAGCAGAGGTGGTCCAGCCACCGACCCTCACCATTATGTGCCCCAGTCAGGAGGCACTGGAGGATAAGGTTGACTCCAGGAGAGAAACAGAATCAATGCAGTATCCAACCCCTACCCATCTACAGAGTTCTGCTCACAGAACTCAAGGTCAACATCACCTTGATGTTAGCAGAAGGTGAGGGATGCCAACATGGGAAAGCTGCCCCTTGGTGAGTTTGCCTATAAGGGTTTAGATGGTTGTTTACTACTTTTGTTGTTTTAGGCAAAATGAAGCTCAGAGACGAACCTAAAAAGAACTATCCAGGACAGAGTTATTTGTGTCTAATAAATTTCCTTTCTCGGAGGAATTCAAAGATCAAGTAAAGTCAGTATTTTGTTTTAATTCTTTAAATCTAAGCTGCCTAATTCAATTATGGATTTCCTGGGACTTAATTTAAAAATATCAGCCAGAATAAAACACAAATGATGGTTATGATAACTCTAAAAATTATCCCACATTAAAATGAAATAATTCCACTAAAGCTGATTTATACAGGTAAGAGGTAATTTCCCCAGGTTACTCCCCTCACCTTGAAACCCGAATACTGCACTAAATAACTAAAGACAGTGTTTTCCATTAAGAACAGAATAGTCTCTTCTGAAGCTGAGCCCAAGAGTGCTAAAATTCTGAACTGATGAATTTTCTCGTCCTTACATTTCCTGCTGCGTTAGCAGTACAGTCATTAGCTATTAAAAATCTTGTGTTAAATGACAGACATTTCTCCACTGGAATTACTAAAGTAGACATTTTCCCACTTTATCTCTTGCCATGGTGAAGAAATGTCCCCTTTTAAAACCCAGTGATTTCAGATAAAATTTAATACTCACCCCCATGCATGATAAGTGCCCAGTTTATTCTTTTTTAAAACATGGTTTCTGGGGATTGAAGTCAGGTTCTCATAGTTGCAGGGCAAGTATCTTACCAACTCATTTCTCTCAGCCCATAATTTAATGTTTCAGAAGTATTCTAGCATCTTCTGCTGTCGTAGGGCCTCAATGTACTTAATTCTTATCCCATAAAATGAAAAACACCTAACAACAACTTTAGTGTAAATTATGAGAGTCTAAAATTTGCTTCTGAATTTATTTATAATGCCATGTTATTTTCTTGGCAATTGAATTAGCATTATATTAGGGCATAACATATCCCACTGGCCAAATTATTTATTCAGTGTTACTTTCCTTGAAGTTTTGTTACAAAAAGAATGTATTAAATATTCAGAAAACATGTGGTTTCTATTATATGGCTCATGCTAGTACAATTGTTACTATTATTACTAATTGAGTTACTAAGCCTTTATAGTCGAAATACAGCTGTGATTGGTGACTAATACTGAATTCAAGGAGTATTCGGGTAATGTCAGCACAAAGCCCTCCCCACGAGGGTTCCTCTACGTTGATGGCGTTCGTGTGCTGCTCTTTTAGTTCAGTCATGTAATAAGATTATACACTTTTATCTTCAAAATTTCAATATTTACTCACTCTCAGAAGTGAAATCTCTGGTCAAGGACACTAGTGAAGAATTTCTTGTTAGTAAAGCTATAATTTATAAACAGAGACACTGGCTAATGCGGCAGCAGACAGCGTGTGCTTAAAGGGTAGGTTTGCCTAACCCCGCGCATGCTTCTCACATGTAAGTCAGGCTACGGCAAAGACTGAACTTTGTCACATGTATTTGCTGGAAACACTAACGTCCAAGTATGGATGCGGAGGAAAAGGATGTTGCTGTGTTTCCATGACGAAGTAAGGAAGGTGAGGCTGAACTCACAGCGACCTAGAGAAAGCATCCATTAAGCTGAATAAAGCCTATAGCCCATCCTCAGCCATGGCAAAGACCAGCAATTGTCAATTAAAATAACTTATCTTTAAATATGAACCTTCTGAAGTTATTTTTTCTCAAACACTGTGTGTAGCTGCCATTTAGAAACGCCTTCCAGGGAATCTGATGCGCCTGTTTCTGGCCAGAGGTCTTTCATGCCTGAAACTAGGGCTGCCTCAGGTCTCACCCTGAGCCACCTGTTTTCCCCCCTTTGAGAGCGCTGTGTAAACACATTCTCGAGAAGCCGAGACTGACAACACCTGCCCTCGAACCAGCAGAGTGTAGTGGAGGTGGCAGGCTCCAAGGCTGAGCTGGCCACCATTTTTATTCAATATGAGACAAGGGAAGTAACTCGAATAGTTTACTTTTTCCTTGTTTGATACCATGCCAAAAATTTCCCCTTAAGTTTTCCTTTGTAAATGTAGTTTCTCAGGAAAACAGGGGACTGGTCTTAATATCTTTCTCATGGAGTCAGGAGAATTCCGCTTTGGTGATATTAAAACATTTTTTTTTCTTTTGATGACAGGGGTGGAGGAAATCTGTATTTTGTTATGTGGAGCAGTCTGGAGAGGCCATAATGATGGGGCCTTTATTCTTGTAACCATAAAGTACAGTTTCTGTGGACACCTAGGCAGCAGCTGCACTCAGTCGCCAAGTACTTTCTACTCATACAACGCTTTGTTCCGCAGCATAGGGGGCTATATTAGTGAAAGCCCTTTCTTTTTCTCATGGAAGAAGACGAGCTTATTCTTGAATCTAGATTTACAGAACCTTCCTACAATTCTTTTCCATTTTTGTGGGAGCAAAAC